TGCCATAGTTTGTTGTGGTCCACACAGTCAAAGGCTTTTGCGTAGTTAATGAAGCAGAAGTAGATGTTCTTCATCGTGGTCTTCTGTGAATGCACACAAAAGGGTTAACCTAGCGCCTTTTGTGTGAATTCACAGATGACCACTTGAAGAACCATGGTTACAGGTAAGTAACCGCTCTTTTTTCTGGAACTCTCTGGCTTTCTCCATAATCCAGCACATGTTAGCAATTTGGTCTCTAGTTCCTCTGCCCCTTCGGAATCCAGCTTGTACTTCTGGGAGTTCTTGGTCCACATACTGCTGAAGCCTGCCTTGAAGGATTTTGACCATAATCTTGCTAGCCTGTGAAATGAGTGCAATTGTACGGTAGTTGAAGCATTCTTTGGCACTGCCCTTCTTTGGAATTGGGATGTAGACTGATCTTTTCCAATCCTCTGGCCACTGCTGAGTTTTCCAAACTTGCTGGCATATTGAGTGTAGCACCTTAACAGCATCATCTTAGGTAAGATGACAATGTTAAGGTGTAAGTAAGAATACTGCCTACTAAAAGGGGGTAGGATTAGGAGACTTTAGCTTCCTCCTGTCCATTAATATTAACTGGCGGGTTTTGTGCCATTGTTAGCAGCATGGGAGCAGCATTGTTGCCTGCTTCTAGGTAATTGTCTCATTTTTTTTCCATTTTGAAATCTGAAATTCAATAATTATGGAACAGGTACAACATGGTGGCTCAGAGGTTAGAGTCAGATGCAACATGGTACCTAAGGGAGCATAGTCAATTATCTGTTGAACCCCATAAAACTTAAACTGAGATGGTTTGTCCCTATAAGTACTGGTCTACATACGACATGCTCATATCCTGATTCAGGGGAGGATCAGTCTGAGAATACAAAGCCTGGAGAGTGTACAAATAGAACCAACCTATAGGAGAGGCATGTCTTAAGATGTGGTATAATGCTGTTTATTTCTAAAATGCCTGCCACATTTCAGTCTATTAATGTTTTAAGGACTTGTTCATGGGATTAGAGTCTGCAGAAGTTTCTCTTGGAGGAATCTACTTCAGTTTACAGCCAATAGAAGTTACTAATCAATACTAAATTCAGTTGGAGAAAATTTCAACGGTAACTTCTGTAGACTGTTCAGATGGTTTTAAGATTTCAACAGGCCAAAAATGGTAGGCATTTTAGAAATAAACATCACTTTACAGCATCTTGAGATTTATGTCACCTATATATTGGCTCAGACTTCAACCTCCTAGGCTTGACTCTGCTTTTTTTTAGAATTGCAAACTCTACCAACTGGAGCCATGTACAAAGTAGAGGGTTCAAGAAGAGGGGCAGGTAGAGGCTTAGAATTAAAGAACAAAGTACAGTGGTGCCCTGCATAGCGACGTTAGTCCGTTCCGGATTAATCGTCGCTATCCGGAAACATCGCTATATGGATGGAAAAAACTCTATGGGGGGAAAACTTACCGCTAAGCAGGAATCCCCCATCCGGCCGCCATTTTCGCTGCCTCGGTAAGCGAGGAAATCGCGCGAAAATGCTTGCGGTGGCCATTTTATGCGCCCGGTGGCCATTTTGGAACCACTGATCAGCTGTTCTAAAAACATCACAATGTGAAAATCGGTAAGCGAAATGCTTACTGATCATCACAATGTGGTTTTGCCTATCAAAACATCGCAATGCGATCGCATTAGCGATCGCAAAAAACAGATCGCTATGCGGATTCGTCGTTAAACGGTGCGCTCGTTATGCGAGGCACCACTGTATCTGAATTGTCTGAGCCTAGAAATTGGTTTTCAGTACTGGAATTGAGCTCACAGTTACTTTATACAAAACCCGATTTCTCTTCTCCCTCCAAACTTAGTTGCAACAAGGCAATTTCAGGGTGAATGTACTTTTGTTAAACATTTAAGCCAAAAAAACACTTAGGTTGGGGGAAAAAACTGTCCGTAGAATGGTAATTGCACAAGTGGCTTCCTCTTCATTGGGGCAATGTTTTTTGTAACTACTGTACTGTCTTCAGCTGAGATTTGGCATGCCTGAGGTTGGGATTACCTAGACCAGTGGTCCCCAACCTTTTCTGAACCACAGACTGGTTGGGGGGGCTTTGAGGTCCCACGGATGGGTGGGGCTTGCACCCATGTGTAGATGGGTGGGGTGTGCTCACACACATGTGTGGAGGATGCACGAAGGGGAGGGATGCGCTTGTGCACCTGCACAGAGGGGAGGGGTGTGCTTACACATGTGGAGGGGAGGACCGCACTCACGGAGGGGTGGGGCATGCTCACGGGTGGGTGGGGCACCCGTGCATGTGGGTGGCGGGCCATGCGTGTGTGGGGAGTGCGTGGGGGGGGACAGCTGTCTCCGGTGACGGTCTGTGGTCATGGCAGGACCAGGCTGCAGACCAGGGGTTGGGGACCTCTGACCTAGACCACAAGTGGATTTTTTGTTAAAGCCAAAAAAAGAGAGACACCCTAGAGCAGAAAATGGATCATGTTGCCAGTTTCATTGCATTTTTAAAATTTCCTGGTACACAGAGTTCTAATGTCATCATTAATTATGTGGCTTTTAACGCTTGCTTTTTAAAAACTTTTCTGTTTGCCCTTCAGTTAAATGTTACTAGGGAAACTTATAGTAGTTAGTACAGTAGTTCAGTGGTTATGCAGTATTGAGGGAGGAAAGCCACGGTCACCCATTTTGATACAGTGATAATTTTTGATGGGGTAAAAATATGATGATAAATTATGTAAGTAATAAAATATAGTTGGATCCTTAAGTAGTATTCAGGTATGATGTCTCTTTTTTTCTTTATTCATAATAAGGTATTGCACAATTTAAAATTATGGACTTATATGAAATATAGGTAAAATTTAAAATAGATTAAAATGTTAACATAATTAGACTATTTTCAACGAGAAGTCAGATATTTCAATAGTGTTATCTTGGCCCTTTGATAGGTCTTTTTTACACTTGAAGAGGCATAAATTGCAAGCACATAAGTGCTGCACTGATTGAATTTCAGTTTCCACATTCACAGAAAATTTGACCTGTATCCAGGTAGTTCCATTTTACTCGATTATTTTTTTATCTTCCAATTTTTTTCAGGCTGTTGGAATGACACAGAGTGCAAAAAAAATCCTTGGTGTACCAGGCTCTTGGACCATCATGCCTAGTAAAAAGGATTGTTGACATATTGAGGGAAGGTGTGGACATCTGAGAGGATTATAAATATAGTAGGGAGATAGGAGACATGCATATAAATATGTTGCATGTTGCACAAACCAGATACCAAAAACAATCATCATGGATTTTCCTCTGTAGATGCAAACTGGCACAAGGCTGGTTTGGCTGGGTGAGAACATTATTTAATATTTTTTCTGTATGTGTTATCACAAGAGGAATTAGTAATTTATGTGTGTTTGTGTGTTATCACAAAATGAATTAGTTGAGTTATTCCTTGGGAAGGAAGATGTCATAAAATAAACTTAAACAGGAACAAAATTGGAAAAGCATGAACATAGTCTCTTAACATGCTGCTTTTGTAGTTTATAGATAGATGAGAGTAGAACAGAAAAGTTCTAAAACATCTTTCTACCAAACAGAGCTAAGCTAAAATATCTTTAAAATGTAACACAATGTGCTTTGTGGACAGTTGCCACAACTCATACCTTCTCACCTAATCAGTTCAAAAAATAAGAGATTTTTTTGAAGGAAGACAAAAACATTGTGGCACCTTAAGGACGAACTGCGATATTTCAATGTGAGCTTTTGTTTACAAATCCACTTTCTCAGATGTAAGAGTGAGACTGCATGCCAAATATTTATACATTTATACATGGCCCCAAACCAAAGAGACTATTTCCTGGGCACAAGTTGATGACAGTGCGGCATTTCACACCTGGCAATGACCTGTAAAACCCCTGTTGGTATTCAGATCCCCTCCCAGAAAGGACTGTTCTGAGATAGGAACAGTGACAATGACTGGTGCCTAAATTAACCCCGGGCTACAGGTAATGTTGCAGGAACAACAGGGTAATGAATTCCTCCAAGTACCAACCATAGTAGCTTGTCACTTATCTGCTAGCACAGACACATCTACCTCTTCTAACTCCTCAGTTAATGTATATAGTCTAGTATTGCTTTGAAAACCTTGTGCAATTACCCCACTCCCTTCTGTTCCCAGCCTCTTTTGCTAGAGCTTTTTCTGAACATTTTACAGAGGCAAAGTAACCACACCCTGCATTTTCCGGTATTTGTGTTGATTATGTATCATGTGTAACTCATTAGGATTAAAATTTTGTATAGCCTGTCTGGACATGATCAATAAAACAGCTTTTCTCCCCTCTCATTTTTTTTATTCTTTTTTTATTGATGAGCTTGCCCAGCCACCTCAGTTCAGTACCATTTTTGCTTGCAGTGGGGCTGCAGTGATGGTATTTGCTGCGCCAGTAAAGAGTAGTTTGGGCGCTTAGGCTGGGCACTTGAGTGTAACATGAGAGGGAAGACTTGATTCTTACAGGTTAGCAAGCAGATAATCGACCAGTCCACACCGAGGCATGCGTCCTGCCATGGCATCCATCTGCTGTTTCTCATAGTACCTCATTACCTCCTGAACAATGTCTCCTACACTGTAGCCCTTTTTGGCTGCTTTATCAGCCAGCTGAGGCAGCCTGGACAATTCTCCATCTTGCTCATTCATGAATGTCAGGTTTGGCACATTGAATTGTGAAGCAACTAGCCACTGGAGCACAGCTTGGAGTTCTTTGTTTTGTGCACTGTTGTTGCAATTCTGGTTGTTGACAATCACTTCAGAACCTGAACCTAATGGTCTCCCATATCTTCCTTCTGAGTCACTGCCTTTAGCCATTAACATGCACAACTTCATCACAGATTCAACCAGCTGGTCAATGAATTGTTTGTTTATCTGTTCCATGTTGTCATACATTTCAGGACCCCCTTTTGGTAAGGCTCTTTGTGGTCTACTGTCAACAAATGGAGGCTGTTTATAGCCCTTGTCAGAGGTAGTCTCATCCGCAAAACCAGCTTCTCTAAGTACTTTCTGGATGATTGACAACAGAATACTTGAAATATCACCTTTTTGTGATTCCAGATTATCCTGCCTGCCCCCTCCTGGCCTTGAACCATATTTTGAGCCACCAGTTCTGTCATGAACATAGCCAAATGATGTGGTGTTTGTCTCACGGAAACCTTGGTCCTTGTTTTTTTCTAAGAGGTGTTGCTGTATCAGCATCAGTGCTGTTACAATCAGGTCTTTAGCATATACATCCATTGAGCAGTGCTTATCTGAACCTTTGCTTCCACTTGGAAGAGGCCTCACTTGGCCATTTCCTCTGCCTCCTCCATGACCACCATGCATTTCACTTTTAAGTGTTGCAAACTGCAGTCCTTGAGTTCTGGAGTCTGTGTGAGTACCTGCTTTCAATGCTGTGAATGCTAGGCTTTGAGATTTCTTATCATCCCCTGCTAATGCTTTGAATAAGCGTTTCACCATTGCTTCCAGAATCTCAGTTGACTTCTGTGTTCCTGTGTTGAAAAGGTTCTTCTTCACTGTGTTAACAAAGTCTGAGTCTGTCATGAGTGCACCTGTCACATTGTGTAGATTTTTCATGGTGGAGTCAATTAAGTCAGATATGACATCTCTGGTGTGTTTGAGTAGTACTTTTTTTAACACTACACAAGCTGGTGGAGGATGCTTTCCTTTTTGGACTTTCATAGTTTTCATGAATGAGAACATCATATCTGAAGCTACCTGATTAGCATATACCATTAGCCCTTTGCTTACAGATCCATCATCTTGTCCTGATTGTTTCCGTTCTGACATTTGTCTGTCTGATCCCTGCCTGTAGCCATTCTGATTACTTTGATTAGACATCTCTCCATAAAAGAGTGAAGCTTTTCTGGGATCATCATGAGATGACTTGGGAGATAGTTTGCCATAGTCATCGGCCTTGCCGTTAGGTCCACGGGAATTAATTGATTGCCGAATGCACCTACCACTGCTTTCCAGTTTATCCTTCATTTCTTTATGAGCCATTTGAACCACTAAGGAACAGAGCTTGTTAACATAATAAGATAGATCATCTCCTCTCTGGCCACCAGAGCCTCTGAAGGAAGTGTCACTGCTTTGGGACATCTTGTCAAATGCAGGTGAATCGTATGCTGATTTACGAGAGCCAGAGGGGGTTAGTGCATGCTGGAATCCAACTGCGTATTTCTGAAGGTCGTTGCTCAGCCAGCTAACAACGTTGACTTCTTCAGAGGAACCTTGCTTAAAAAGGCAGACTGCTCCCTCAGTATTGGTGTGGTGATCCCTTTCGTTGTCCTTTATGACGATGACTTCCTTTTCTTCAAGGTTACGCAGATCAAGGGAGGGGTCACCTAAGCTATTACCTCTCTTCTGTTTCTCTTTGTTCTTTAAATTAAGGCTGGCAACATCAACAAAACAGATGACTTTGCGGTCTTGATCACTTGTTCCGTCTGGACTATAAAGATCTACTTTGCATAGGCCGGCTTGACTGTGTAACCAGTCAATCTCCTGAGCCATACTACTCGTCCGCAAATAGAATTGTACCCCTGGTCATGGAGCGTTCTTCTTCCAGTTTTTGCTGACCTTGCCCCACTTAAGATGTTGCCTCCTCTCTCAGCTTTCCATGCTCTTGTACTGGCTGGTGGCATTTTCATTTGTGTGCACACATGGTTTCTATGACAGCAGTGACATCATAAAGCATGAGTATCATCCACCAACCACTGATGCCCTGACCATGCTTAATAGAAGATTGCTCTGCTTACTAAATGTGTATCTTAAGGATTGAAGGGACATGTTGAGAATCAGGTTAAAAAGTGTGATAATATACTGCTTTGCTTCCTAAATAAGCCCCCATTGGAGCAAAATCAAAGAAGCAAGAAACAGTGCTGAGATAGCATCATTTTCCTACAAATAGATCTATTCTGTTGCACTTGCACAAAGTTCAGTATATTAAAAAAAATTTGAACATTTATGGGAGGACTTTGGGGCAGTCTCTTTTTACATAAGGTCTTTTATTTCAGGACTTCCAGTGACCTCACACAGAAAAGATCTTGCTGTGTCAGTGTCCCCTATTTTTTTAAAAAGCTTTCTGCTTTTTCCTGAGTCTCCTTTTCCCTATTTCCTTCATATTTATTTACAGTTTCATTTCCAATTCCCTTTCATTCATTCTCTGAAGCTTTTTCACTATATTCTTCATAACAGAGAAGCATCAGGAAACTAGTTATTGTCATTCTGTTTTAAAATAAAATGATAGGGGATAAAAGAACCACTTACTAGATTTCCATTTTGTTGACAGATTCGTTTGTGCTCAAAAGATTGCACATGCATTTATTTTCATGACAGATTGAAAAATAAATGTAAAATATGTGTATGAAAATTTAACTGAAAGATTGACATCTGCTTTTGTCACTAAAAGTTTGTTGGATAAAAGCTAGCACAGCAGGAGCAGCAGGCACAGAGAAAGAATTTACAGTTTTGAAAGTCTTACTTTCACTCATGTTAATAGGGGAGGGAGTTCCATGACTGGGAAGCAGCTGTCATGCACTTCTCTTTGTGTCTCAGCCATCATAACTTGTGCTTTAATTTCAAAGGCTGTAGGGGCCTGCTGACAAGGAAGTAAAGTTTTCAGAATTGGATTATTGGCTCTGCGGCTTCAAACTGAATACTACTTGTTGTACTGTTTAAGGCAGACTGATATTTGTATGTCCCAGGTGTTGTTTGGGGATATTGGATGTCAGAGTTAAAATCAATGCGTCACAAACTGGTGGAACAAACTTTTCTTCCCTACTCCCTCTTCATTCCTTCACACACCTGCAAACTTCTTCCATTAGTAGTCCTCTGATATTCTTGTCTCTTTTTTAGATTTAGTCACATATCCTCATATTGTTTTGTTTGCCTTAGTTTCTTACATTGACTTTTCTGTTTCTGTCCAATTATCAGTTTAGTGTCATAAAGTTTTGCTTTCTTCATTGTGTTTGCCATTTCTGGGAGGAAACCCTTTTACAGCACTGCATATGTTCATTTTAGTATTCTAGGACAGTCACAACATTGCCATGAACCCAAAAAGGTACCTCAGTGATGTAACCATCCTTATTCTCTGTAATTAGAGAAATGTTTGACATTGATATAATTGGACTATCCTTCTATTTGCATCTTTTCCTTATTTGTATCAAGTGTTGCAAAATTTTAAATTATTGATGTATATGAAGTATAGATAAAATTCAAACAAATTTAAAATGCTAAAAATGATTGGACTGTTTTTGACCAGAAACGGGCTACTTCTATAACATTATCTTGATTATTTGCTGGATCTTCTTTAGTACACATGGTGGGGCATATATTGCACGCACATACAGTAAATGCTACATTGATCAAATGTCTCCACAGTCCCAGAAAATTAGTCCTTTATCTAAGTAGCCCCATTTTACTTATTATTCCTTAATCTTTCTATTTCGCTTCCAAGTCTTTTAAGTGAATTTGTGAAGGCTTTCATGGCTGGGATCTAATGGTTGTTGTGGGTTTTTCGGGCTCTTTGGCCATGTTCTGAAGGTTGTTCTTCCTAACGTTTCGCCAGTCTCTGTGGCCGGCATCTTCAGAGGACTGCACTCTGTGGTCTGGGCATCTTCAGAGCACAGAGTGCTGTCCTTTGAAGATGCCGGCCACAGAGACTGGCGAAACGTTAGGAAGAACAACCTTCAGAACATGGCCAAAGAGCCCGAAAAACCCACAACAACCATTAGATCCCAGCCATGAAAGGAGTTCCAGATGATCCAGCCAGAGCCCTTCTGGTGGGGGACACTTTTCAGCATTCATCCACTCAGCAAGGTGTGTTGTTTTTGTTCTCCATAGGTTTAGCGTAGCCTCTCCTGATTTAATATTTAGAGCTTGAGATGTGTGCAGAAATTTTTTCTTGATTTTAGCCATCATCTTTGATGTTGGTATGCATGAAGTTGATCAGCTTGATGCTCTATTACTTTATTCATTATTTTCTACCTTTTCTCAACATACTTCCAGAGGAGCAATACCAACCAAATAACAAAGGTGGTGGAAATAGGTTTCAGGCATGATTCATTAAGAGCTATGTCCACTTGTTTGGCATTTGCTGATTTATACCATATGACACTAGCAAAATCTGTTAGGGAGTAGCATAGGGACAAAGCTGTTTTTATTGTTTTTGGGTGTGCACCCCAGTCTGAACCTAGCTAGTTTCCTAAGTATGTTATTTCTGGTGGCAACTTTCTGTTTGGTGTTTAGACAATCCTTTTTGTAGGTTAGGGTTCAATCCAGAGTGACACCCAAATATTTTGGGGTAGGGCAGTGCTTTCCCAGAGCTTCCTCTCTGTTTCCCTCTTCTTTAAGTGGAAGGCATGGACTTGTGTTTTAAAGAGTTTTGTTTCAGCTGGTTGTGGTGCCTCGGTTAACGAGCGCCCCGTTTAACGACGAATCCGCATAGCGATTTGTTTTTGCGATCGCAAAAGCGATCGCATTACGATGTTTTGAATGGTAAAATATCGCTTTGCGATGATTGGTAAGCTGTTTCACTTACCAATTTCCACATAGCGATGTTTTAAAAACAGCTGACCGGTGGTTCCAAAATGGCCACCGGAACAAAACTGGCCACCCGCTGTGTTTTCGCGTCCATTCCTCGCTTACCGGGCAGCGAAAATGGGGGCCGTATGGAGGATTTTCGCATAACGGTGAGTTTTTACCAATAGGAACGCATTAAATGGGTTTTAAAGCATTCCTATGGGCTTTTTTATTTTGCATAGCGACGAATCCGGATAGCGACGATTTTTCCGGAATGGATTATCGTCGCTATGCGGGGCACCACTGTATAAGGAAAGATCTAATGCAGAAATTAGCTGGTGCACAGTGGAGTCAAAGGTTTTCCCCTGGACTGTCAAGGCAAGATCATCAACATAGATGAAACTCCTAGAGCATGGGAACATTGTTTGATCATTTGTGTAAATGTTAAAAAGTAATGGTGCCAAGATGTTATGCTGTTGGAAACTTTTCCTTTGATTTCTCCATCACCCATGTCTCCCTTCAGCAAATAATATTTGGTTTTGAAATAGAATGGCAACCATTTTTGTTAGTTCATAGCTCTTTAATAAGATAGAGCTTTTTGAGCTGACAGACAGTATCATATGCACACTGTAAGGTTGACAAATGCTCCTCCAGTTACTTTATGTGTTTCAAAACCATCTTCTATATGTTGGATTAGATTTAAGATTTGAGCCGTACAGCTCTTGCCCGGTCTAAAGCCTGCCTGTTCTGAAATTAGAAGATGTTCAATTTTAATGGCTAAACAGTTCTAGAACTGAGAGTTCTCCGTGAGGGGAGATCATACCAGGAGGCAAAAAATGCAGCAACCGGCAGAAGGCTTGGGATTCCACGATGGACAGTAGACGTCCAAGCAGGGTGACAAGACAAGTGGCTGCCTGCTGGACTTTGTCCTTTGGCCGCCGGCTGAAGGTCATGGCGGATCCAAAGGGTGCCATTTCGTGGAGCGTGGCCTGCCTCATGCCCCTGGCCCCAGAAACCACTGTGGCTGCCCTCCTCCTGCCTCCCCTGGAGCTGCTCTTTTCCCTCTCCCAGATGGCATGGACAAAGTGCCTTCTCTGGACAGGGGCCTTGTGTGGTGCCTCTCCAGATGTTGGCGGAGGGCAGTGGAGGACAGATACCTGGTGTCTGACCCCCTCTGGACCACCCCAAGGCAGGTATTGCAGCATGCCCGCCGTGAGTCATTGCTGAGCACCATGAAATGATCCCACATGACGTTTGCACATGCCCCTCTGCCATGTTTGCCCAAATGAGGACCCACTGCCTGCCCCTGACTGCTGGACTGGAAAGAACTCTGTGTCCCGGGGGTGCTGCTGGTTTGGGGGGAGGGAACAGATGACTCTGGGGACTCCGGGGGTGCTGCTGGTCTGGGGGGAGGGAACAGATGACTCTGGGGACAAGTGGGGGAGGCTGTGAAGCCTGCCCTGCCATTACTGATTCCAAATCAGACTGGGGATCTTTGGAAACCAGTAACTCCTCATCTTCCTCTAGGAAGAGGTGCAAGAGTTCTTTTGGCACCTTTGGAAGATTTGGTTCTGTGCTTGCCTGCAAGGCCACCGGAGGAGGGACAGTGGCACTGGTTATCATAGATGTGGTTGTGCATGTGGTGGTCGTGATGACGGTGCTGCTACCTAGCCTGTGTAGCTTCACAGCCTTCTTCCCCTTGGATTGCCCCTGAAGAAATCCCTTCATTTTGTACTGCCTGCCTAACAAACCAGCTAAACAAATAAAGCAGTGGAGATTGAGGAAGGAAACTAATAGAGGGTCAGAGAGTGTGCATAAATTTTTTTTTTAGAATGATGGTGGTGTAATTCTTTTACTAAAATGTGACCTGCCTGCCTAAACAAAGCCTCCCTCAGTATAAAGAAATTATGAACCCCCCCCCCG